GAAACAAATTACCTTACTGGAACACACTCTTTATTCACTGACCGGACCCCTGTGTGACTTGTTTCTATTTTCTTTACTGAAGAAACACATCAAGGGAATACATTTTCAAGATGTGGATGACAGTCAGAGTAGCACGACAGTAGCCACATAAACAATTCCAGAAAGCGAGTTCCAGAAATGTTTCCAGGGGTGGAATAAATGCTGGCATTCGTGTATATCATCGCAAGGAGAATACTTTGAAGGGAACTACAGCATCGATCCTCAGTAAGGTACGTACCGGCGTCTGTAGCATAAGTTCGTGAACTTAATTGTCAGACCTCGTGTATATATACAGTGACCCCTCGGTTAACGAACTCAATCCGTTCCAGAAGGTCGTTCGTTAACCGAAAAGTTCGTTAACCAAAACCATTGTTTCAATGGGTTTTTGGGTAATTGGTTCCAGCTCACCGAAAATTTCCTAAATTCAACAAAAATGGTAGAAAAGTTCACTTACTTTGAGGTGTGTTTGTAGAAGGCTCCTGGATGATGATGATGATGATGATGATGATGATGATGGGATTTAGAATGGGGGTGGAGGAGAAGGAAGAAGAGAAGGCATTGGGGTGGAAGAGAAGTCACCCCATGGCGCCATTTCACCCATAAAATTTTAGCTCTCTTGGTGTAATTCAAGATTATTTTCTTTAAATCAACACTGCACTGCATTATATATTGTCAATATGTAAAATATATTTCAAAATGACCAATAATTTGCTTGGAAACACAGAAAAAAAGTGTTTAGTTGAAGAGAGTCTCAAGCAAGATATTACCTCCAGTGAAAACAGAGAGAGACTAACGCCTGTTTGCTGTGTTAAGAGGCTGGATGCCGCGCATTAAACTAGTCACTTTACCTTCAATTATGTTCAATAATTGTTAAAATGACTAAAAAATTGAATATAAAACATTTAAAATTATTGAATAGTATAAACTTCTTGATATTTGCTAAAATAGTAAGGAATTTAAGCCCTAGAACCGATTAATGTATTGGCGGACTGATACTAAAGCTGGTTGCCCGGTCAGTGCAAGCGAAAACATGTTGAGGTCGGTTCGTAAGAAATTCGTTAACCGAATTTTTGTTCGTTAACCGAATTGAAGATCCTTATGGAAGGCAGTTCGTTAACCGAAATTTCGTTAACCGAGGCGTTCGTTAAACGAGGGGTCACTGTATATATATTTTGTATTATTTTTTTCTTCATATTATGCATGAAAAATTGTGTGTACATGTAAGAGTAAAAATAAATATATAAATAAATAAGACTACAGTATTATGTACCAGTATATCTGCACGAAATTATGAATTGAAAAATAACCATAACATACCATACAGTACCAGTGAGGAATGTGAGGAATAAATAAAAATACCAATAAATAAGTTACAACAAAAAAATTTCTATTGCCAAACCAGTAAATAAAAGCCAAATGAAAGTTTAACATAATCGCCATTTACAAATACTATGTACTGTACATCTGTACTCCGTTTACAACAGTAACGGCAACAACCCCCCACCACCACTAACCGCCCAGCCGTCCTCACTCCCCCTCACTAAGCCAGCTAACTCGTGTGCAAAGAAACGTATATTCCTTTTGTGTGTTTGCCCTTAGGACAATTATTTCTTTTACCCTTTTCACAATACAGTCGGCCCTTAACATACGCAGGTTTAGCATACACGGATTTGCAAATACGCGGATTGCCCCGCCGGAGGAATATTCTGTACATTGAAGTAATTGAAGTACATTCAAATCGCGTGCGGCACCGAACACGGGACACCACCCGCTCCCGCAACACGCAACACACACACACACACACACACACACACACACACGCACGCACGCACAGCTCTCCCTCACTCAGTCAGTCTCGCTGTAACCTCGCTTGTGTTGACATCAGCATTGTAGTTGCAAAAATATTACATTTCCGTGAATGTATTATATCAAGCACAGTATGAATAGAATATCACTAATATAAGAGTATTTTAACCGAAAACTACTAAAAAAACGAGTAACATATCTTGAACATCGGAAGGTTAGGTAAAGTCTTTTGTTTTCATGTAGTTTATCCTAATTTACATTGAAATGCATTACATTTCAGCAAAACTACTATTTATTTCTGAGAATATGTTAATGTAATATTTTGCTGAAATGACATACGTATTACAGAGGAAAGTGACGAAAGCAATGACTCGCTTTCTTTCGTTCACAAGATGTTACCGTAATAGCTTTTCAAGTGGTTTTCAGTTAAAAAACTGTTGTATAACAATAATATTCTATCCTAATTCACTTGTGATGCAACAGTTTTTTTAACTGAAAACCATTCGAAAAGCGATTATGGGAACATCTTTTGAACGAAAGAAAGCGAAAGTCATTGTTTTCGTCACGATTTTATCCCACTTTCCACTGTAATACGTACGTAATTTCAGCAAAAATATTACATTTCCGTGAATGTATTATATCAAGCACAGTATGAATAGAATATCATTGTAATAAAACAGAATTTTAACCAAAAACTATTAAAAAAACGAGTAACATCTCAAGAACATCGGAAGCTTAGGTAAAGTCTTCTGTTTTCGACATGTATTTTATCCTATTTTACATTGAAATACATCACGTTTCAGCAAAACTACTATTTATTTCTGAGAATATATTCATTGAGGCACAGTTAGGTAAAATATACATGTGCTGTAACATTTTTTTAATTGAAAACGATTCGAAAAACACGTACCCTCTAGCCCTGTTCAAGGAGAAGACTGGGAGGAGCTGTTTGGTGCTCAAGACGATGACAAGGAAAATGATTTTGATGGATTTTAATGAAAATATTCAGGAAGACCCTAACACTGTCAAGGAAAGTGGCTGCTGAAGGCTTCCAGGACATGGCAGAGGACGTGATTAGGGAGCTAATTGAAAAGCACGACACTGAGCTGACCGAGGAGGATCTACAGGAGTTAGTACACTCAGGCAAGGAAGAGGAAGAGGAAGCGAAAGGGAAAGAGGATGAGGAAGAGCACCAAGAAATAACGTTGGAGAAGTTGGGGGAGATGACCAGGAATATTGAGGCACTGAAAAACCTGGCCTATAGTATGGACCCCTCCATGGTGTGTGCCCCAAAATTCATGCGCGGGATGGATGACGTTTTTGCTCCATACAAAAACATCATGGAAGAAATGAAAGAAAGAGACGACAACTCCCCATCACCATGTTCTTTGATCACCGAATGAGAGATTTAACACCATCAATCACTGGCGGCAGTGAGGAAGCAGCTGAATCCACCTTCGCCCCCACTTCACCACCCGTTATGGAATTGAGTGACGATGAGCCCGATGACCCCTGTCCTGTCGCCGAGGATAGGTACTGTACAGTAAAGTGAAATTTTTATCTCTTTTTTTTTTAATAACTTTTCTTGCCATGTTTATTGTTTGTAAAAATGCACAGCACAGTACAGTTCAGTACTGTACATAGGAAGTGGAGGTGCAGTTATTCACAAAACATTTGTGTTTGTTGTCGGCAGTAGTGACGGTGAGGAGGCGGAGGAGGGAGCGGAGGGAGCGAGTTGGGAGGAGTGGTGACCTTGGACGCGGGAACAGGGACGAGTGGAGATGCCAGCCAGTACATTATGGGTGTATTAATTGTTTTTATAGCTATTTTTGCATTTTAATATTAAATACTGTGCATTAAGTTTCAACAAAACTACCATTTATTTCTGAGAACATGGAAATGTAATATTTTGCTGAAATGATGCACGTATTACAGTGGATAGTGGGATACAATTGTGACGAAAGCAATGACTTTCTCTTTCTTTCGTTCAAAAGATGTTACTGTAATCGCTTTTCGAATGGTTTTCAGTTGTGGGATTATAAGGCTAATGATAGGATAGAATACTATTGTAATACAGTACGAGTACAACAGTTTTTTAACTGAAAACCATTCGAAAAGCGATTACGGTAAAATCTTTTGAATAACGAAAGAAAGCGAGTCATTGTTTTCGTCATGATTTTATTCCACTTTCCACTGTAATATGTACGTCATTCCAGCAAAAATATTATATTTCCATATTTATTTCTGAGAATACATATATTCATTCAGTCACAGTTAATGTAAAAATATACTTGTGATGTAATATTTTAATGAAAATACGGTATTGTAGTTTTCTTTTGTTTCAAATTTAATTAACAAAGATTGATGTTTCAAATGTAATGAACAAAAATATATGTCCAGTATCTATAAATAAACTTTAATAAATGAATACTTTATGTTTTACATCGTCCTGTGCTACCATACCATGGATTTGGCTACATTGGGCTTGCTATGATGACGCAAGAGATCTGCCCTGGCAACTGTACCGACACTCACAGCTGGTAGTGCGTTGGTGCATCGTTTCCATTGTTTACTGGTAGTTACTGGTAAATATTTTTCAACCTAACGAAACTATTACCCGTTTAGAGGTCGACCCCCAATTTTTTGTCAAATAATTTGGTCTTAAAAACTTGAACTACACACAGGTATATACGGTAAATAAGGACATGGGGGGGCAGCACATATACGCGGACTTTTAACATCCACGGGTATCTCTGTTATGTAACCCCCACGTATGTTAAGGGCCGACTGTATGTATGCAGGATGGTGTGTGCATATACAGTATATCAGTAAAAATAAATGAATGAAGAAAATTACGTATATCTACCCAATCATACGAGTTGAAAAATAACAGCTTGGCAACATGCCACCAGCAATATAAACAGATGCAATTAAAATATAGTCTATTTCCATTAATTTGACTATTTTGAAGGCAAAATAGCTAAATAAGACACACAAGGGGATGCATCTTACTATTATTGTATTGTTGCAATGATAATTATCTGCAATGCAATGATTCACCTTACAATGTAATATTGGTGAACACATGTCTGTCACAAATCGAGGCTTTCCTGTATTTCACTTTCATCACAAAAGATGGCTTAGATAGTACTTACCATAGGAAGGTACAACAGAGATGCGGTTCTGGTAAATTGGTCCTTCTTCTCCTAAAGAAGAACGTGAAGATCGGTTGCTGCCTGTACTTCCCCGGGGTGGTACTGGTGGTTTGGTTTTGTCTTGCATCTGGAAAATAGGTTTATCTATCATATTGCCCAATCATCCCAAGAAATGTTTATTGAAAAGTATCTTGTTTGCAGTAAAACATGGCTGCCAACTACACCTTTTCTTATTACCAAGTCAAGTGGATATCAAAAGAAGAACCTGAAAAAATTGAACATCTGCACATTTTTAAATGGACTTGTAATCGAAAATTGCTATTAACATTTAAAACAGGTGAACTATACATCTTAGAAAATGTATTAGGAGAACTAGACAAATATTATTTTACCAACTGTTACATCCTTTTCATCTAAAAGTTGAAGGTTCAGCATACACACACTATACATGTAAATATACAGTACAGTCAACCCTCGCTTTACGCGGTCCCACATTCCGCGTTTCCACGTTTACGCGGTACCGTGCCGAAACCGGAATGCTCACATTCCGCGGTGCGTGTACCCTTTTACGCGGAGAGCAGCGCGAGCAGGGTGCGCACAAGGTCGCCCAGTCATCAAAACATTACCGAGTTCTTCACCTGCCACCCACCACAGCCGGCCCAAGTCAGTGATAGTGATAATTATAATGAGGATACGGACTTATATGGACTTTGAGGGGTTTGACAAAGAGGCCCTGCAAGCCTCTGTGGTGGATAGTGATACAATTGATACAAGTGATACAGGTGAGGGCCAATAATCTGCCCTCTGCCTCGGAACCAACCCCCCATCCCCGTGTGCCCAGCCATCTTTTCTACTAATGTAAGTGTTAAAAAACCTATTATTTTTTATATTTCTCTTAATTATTAATTGTGTGTGCATACCATCATAAAATTGAGAAGTTATTTTTACTACAACGTAGGTATTGTGTCTGAAAAAGTGGAGTTTGGGGGTCTGCCCGGTCTCTATTTCAATTAATCCCATATGTTATGTTGTTCACTTTACGCGGGCCGCCGAGGGTTGAATTAACCGCGTAAAGTGAGGGTTCACTGTACTGTATACAGTATATCCGAGAATTTGCCAATTTTGTGATTGGCAATGGATTACTGCAATCTACACCCTTGTAGATTACGGGGGATGATTTTGACTCATTCACGGTATTGCTTATCTCACTCCAGAAACTTCTTGCAGGTTCTCCATTCAGATGGATGGACACTGGCATGGAAAACGTTGTACAGCCAACAAAAAAATTTTCTGTACCTTTACGATGTTATACAATGTAACACACCGGACCAAGAAATCCAAGCAATGTCCGGTTTTCGTATGGGTTTTATATGTACTTCTGTTGATTTCTCTATACATGATGTACAGAATACATCACATTGATCAAAATTATACAATGCATCACACAATCAAAACTACCAACCTTACTGAACATGGCCTCAGTCAGTGATCACTACAAAGGTCGTCAGACCCAAGGGTGCAGAAAACATTTATGTTAGCTATACCTCTTTTCCAATTTATTCACTACCCAGACCACTGACTGACTTAGGAACATTGCCAGATATTTATGCCAGCACCTCATAATCTAACGATATGAAAAATGAAATTTTTTCAAAATTTCTAGATTTTCATTGACAAAGGAATAGTACTGTACCTGCACAGGAGTGGCGTAGGTTGTAGTGCATTAGTGCAATGCAGAGTAATTTGGATGCATCGTTTGAAATTTGTTTCTCCTAATTTATGGAGTGAAAATACTTATGGCGGAAGTGTGTACAGTGGGGTTTCATTTTCCGTGGGTATATCACACTGGTTTGTTACATGTCCGTGCATAAGAAAACCGTGCACACTATATTAAAACCCCAGTGTCAAATCGGCTACATATCAAGGGTACAGCCCCCCAAAACAGTATTGTTGGATTTTCTATCGCTACATATTGAAACACTAGACAAAATGCTTTGGTATGATCCTCAGTATATCATCTTAAGTTGGTAAGCCTGCTTGCCACACCAGCAACAGCTAGAGATGGGGGGGTAGGATTGGAAGAGGGAGTCATCCTTGTATGACATACTAGATACTATAATATAACAATAACGAAAAATCCTTAGCTATATTAATGTATGTGTTATCGCCGCTGGCTTATAAGTGCTGGTGTCAGTTGATGACGATCACTGCCTTCCCTGAACAAACATTGGATCTCTCAGCGCCCCACGCTGCCTGTTGCCTCGTGAGATGTGGAGGCTGGGGGGAGGCTGGGGGTGGAGGTGTTTACAGATAAAGAGTTTCTGATTCTGCTGAATGTAAGGTGAAAGGTTTAAAGGGTGACGTGGCTCTCATGACACAGATTGCCCTCTCGAGTGATGATGTTCCCCTTTCCACCCCCCACGCGACCTGTGACCTCGCCAGATGAGGCGGGGAGGGGGTGTTTACCGCCGTCAGTGCTGGCACCCCTGGAGTGTTATCACCGCTGGCGTCAGTACTGGCGAGTGAGTATTGGCATGCGAGTGCTGACATTTGCTGCCTTACCCGAACAAAGGTTGGGGGGTGGGCGGTGTTTGCGGAGAAGAGGTTCCGATTCTGCTAAATGAATGCTTTAAAGGGTGGCGTGGCCGCCTGGACTCGAGGAGATCGCTCACTTGAGTGATGCTGTGAGGACCAGCCCTCAAGTGATGCTGTAAGGAGCAGCCTTCTGCTCGCACTGATAAACACCACACAATCCTGTCCAAGAATTTGTGCCGAGACAATTTACACAGTACTGTTGTCTCTTGGAACACCATACTGATCTGCATTGACCCGCACTTGTAAGTACAGCCTAAGTGAAGACATACCCCTCGGTACTGAAATATTGTTGACTAATTACGTCTACTCGTTTCTGCCTAACTTGGAGTATTAAGAATATGCAGAATGAAGCAAAGCTAAGACTAATAGAGTTATGAACTTTGTATCATGTCACTATGATCAATAATCAATTATAATTAAGACAAATTGTGTGAGACTAACTAATTATGTATCAGATAGATCACCATGTAATACTAATGAATGCCTTGTTCTCTGCAGGTTTTGACCACATCAATAAATATTGAATGCATCAACAGGCGGGTTTCAATCATTCCCTTTGACTTGCCCGTCACCTGAACGTCCTTATTCCCAAGGCGTTTATAGTATATATTATGTTGGGTAGAAGCAAGGCATATGTAAACAAGCTACAGTAGTACCCCGATTTACGCGGTCAATTTAACCCACAGGGTACCGCAGAAAGTGAAAACCGCGTAAAGTGAGCAACAGAACATATGGGATTAATTCCAATAGAGACTGGCCCAAACCCCAAACTCCACTTTTTCCGACACAATACCTATGTTGTAGTAAAAATAACATCTAAATTTTATGATGGTATGCTCACACAATTAATATTTAAGAGAAATACAGTCGCCAGGTTAATGTCCATTCAAATCTCCCCCCCCTCTTCCCAGCTCACTAGCTCCTACCTCTCTGATTAATGTTTGGGTGAAAACTCTTAGATTTTAACGTTTAGTAATAAATAATACCTCAGACTAAAGTTAGGATAATATAATTGACATTTCTGGATTCCTTGCAGGTCAGGGAATATTTTGAATGTAAACTTCATATATTTTGCACAAAAGATAAAATATTTGCTTTGTGTAAACCAAATTATTACTTTAGATCTAAAATTTATATGTCTAATGCAAAATCCATGATGTTTATATTCAAAATGATCATCATATTGTAAGAATTCCAGCAATGTAAATTATATTCTGGCCGGGTAATTTGTTTGAATTTTATGAGCTAAATAAAAAAAAATTATACTTCACCGCGTATATGAGTAGATGCACCGCGGAAAGTGAAAGTCTGGTTCTGGCAAGGTACCGTGGAAAGTGAAACTGTGTAAAGCAGGGTAATACTGTACTGACTGATAATTACAATAATACTGAAATATCCATTAAATGGAAGTGTTTCAAAGCAAAATAAATGAGACCAAGGTCTATATAGGATCCAATATATATCGTGACAGGCCTCAAAACGGACATTTCACCATTACGTTGTTCTACTAACGGAGTTCATTCATAATGAGTTTCACAATATACCTACTCATGTTGTTCATGATGTATGATTTATGAATTGTAGCTAAGCAAATAGTACAGGTACTTGATATTAGGATGAATAGCTACAGCAATATACAATATATCAGTCTACATGCGATCTGCCATGTTACGGATACGTAAATTGCGTTGGTTTAACACTAAAATATGGTTCCAAATCTAGACATTTGTGGTTTTATGTTTCAGTGTGGCAAATGTTTCATGGCACCTGACCCATGGTGATACTATGGGTTCACTTACCCCAGTTCACCGTGCTATCTCAGCATTACATATACCCTCGTTGTGAAGGCAATGATAGCACCACTCACATCTTGAGATGTTTCCCTGATAATTCCTCGCTCCATTTGATGTAAGATCCCGCTGATGACTGCCATGGCGTTGGTATCCATTTATGACATTCACTCCGAGTCATGTAATACTGTACAGTGATCCCTCGGTTAACGAACGCCTCGGTTAACGAAATTTCGGTTTACGAACTGCCTTCCATAAGAATCTTCAATTCGGTTAACGAACAAAAATTTGGTTAATGGATTTCTTACGAACCGACCTCAACATGTTTTCGCTTGCACTGGCCGGGCAACCAGCTTTAGTATCAGTCCGCCAATACATTAATCGGTTCTAGGGCTTAAATTCCTTACTATTTTAGTAAATATCAAGATGTTTATACTATTCAATAATTTTAAAAGTTTAATATTCAATTTTTTAGTCATTTTAACAATTATTGAACATAATTGAAGGTAAAGTGACTACAGGTTGTACCTCTCTAGTCCAGCATTCTGTGGTCCGGAAACTCCCGTGGTCCAGAACGATTTTAGTTTGTCCAATAGGTAGATAGGCAGCTTTTTTTTTTTTTTTCTTTTCTGAATTATTATTACAGGAGTATTAAATTTTTGCCCCTCAGGCCCTAATGTGGGTCAGTGACCTATTCCCGGGTGGGCTAATCCCCTTAAAAAAAAAAGCCGCGGGAAATTAAGGTTTGTTTACATCCGGCAGTTCGGCTGCTCTCTCTCTCTCTCTCTGCTTGTCTATACAGAGTACAACATTTAACCCTTCAATATATATGAGCAGTAAATAAGTGTTGCTTTCATATTCTTATGTAGAGTAATGACGATATATTTTCACATGTGCGCACTTACATACGAGCAGTCTCACTTATTTTTTTTTACCATTAATGGTTAGCTACTTATATTGTTCTGTTTATGAACATTAAATAACATTACAGGTACTTCAAGCAACCATATTCATTTTTTTACATTAATTTTACTACAGCTAAACTCAGGGTCTTATTTTCTTCAGTTTTATATGTAGAACCAATCAGTCACTGGTTTCGTAAGCTTTAACATAAACAATGCCGGCAGCCGTCTCGTCTCCTCTAATATTCCACGTACTATTAATAAATTGTATTGTTAATTTTGCACACACGTACATTAATTCAATAAAAACAAATTCAGAAACATTAATTAAAATATAAATGAACAGTAAATAAGTGTTGCTTTTATATTCTTATGTAAAGTAATGATGATATGTTTTCACGTGTGGCATGCGCACTTACATATGCGATCTCTCTTTTTTCTTTACCATTATCGTTAGCTACTTCTATTGTTCCATTTATTAACATTAAATAACATTAATTAAAACAACCATATTAATTTTACTACAGCTACAACCAAGGTCTTATTTTCTTCAGTTTTATATGTAGAACCAGTCAGTCACTGGTTTTGTAATCAACGAATACAATGCTGTGTCATTTCCTCGTGTGTTTTAATATTCTACGTATTATTTATGAATTGTATTGCTCATTTTGCACACATAAACATTAATTCAATAAAAAAGACATTCAGTAATAAACAATAATGAATCTTTTGTACATAAGAGAAATGACGCTGTTTACACGATTATGCACGTCGTCTGCACGTTGGCGGGCCGTTCAAACCCGTCGAAATTCAAGTTTCCGCCATCAAAATTTTTATTTATTTATTTTTTGTGTTCCAATAAAATACGTTAAGAATTAAAAACTCGCGAAATTTGAGAAGCTACTATACGACATTTAACCCTTCAATATGTCTTCAAAGAGACCATGATGCAGAGAAAGTGGTGCTAGTGCTTCCAGGCATAAGCACAAGTCACTATCTATCCAGGAAAAGGGTGAATTTCCATGGTCCGGCACCGGTCAGGTCCCGAGGTTGCCGGACTAGAGAGGTATAACCTGTAGTTTAATGCGCGGCATCCAGCCTATTAACACAGCAAACAGGCGTTAGTCTCTCTGTTTTCAGTGGAGGTAACATCTTGCTTGAGACTCTCTTCAACTAAATGCTTTTTTTCTGTGTTTCCAAGCAAATTATTGGTCATTTTGAAATATATTTTACATATTGACAATATATAATGCAGTGCATTGTTGATTTAAAGAAAATAATCTTGAAATACACCAAGAGAACTAAAATTTTATGGGTGAAATGGTGCCATGGGGTGACTTCTCTTCCATCCCAATGCCTTCTCTTCTTCCTTCTCCTCCACCCCCATTCTAATTCCCATCATCATCATCATCATCCAGGAGCCTTCTACATACACACCTCAAAGTAAGTGGACTTTTCTACCATTTTTGTTGAATTTAGGCAATTTTCGGTGAACTGGAACCAATTACCCAAAAACCCATTGAAACAATGGTTTCGGTTAACGAACTTTTCGGTTAACGAACAACCTGCTGGAACGGATTGAGTTCGTTAACCGAGGGACCACTGTATATGATCTGAAGCCTCGGAGGATTCATTCGAAAGCGTATATATTCATTCATGCTTAAAGGTCGTGGAAGTAGATCTACCAACTGTTCAGAAACAGCTCGAGTGACATTGCTCGAAAAGTCTCAAATCACATTGACCTTATGGCTAACGATACTTTTTTGGGGGGACTATATATTACTATGTACTTTTTTTTTTTCTCAGTACTTACCTGGGAAATATTCTGAACTTCAAATTTTTTAAGTTATATCTCAACTTGAGAAGATTGTTATACAGGTACAGCACCGATTTTCCGGCACCCTTAGTTCCAAAGCCTTGCCGGATTACCCGTTTTGTCGGCCCAACCTAGGTCAGGTAATAATAATTCAACAATACACCTCTGACCCACTAATTATACACCTCCTGTGTCTCTAAAGCACCATGGACTGCTAGAAACTTAAATTGAACAAATATTTAATGTAAATTAAATGTGAAAAAGCCATAATTTTGAGCAACATTACTATACACACTTTGTACTCTTGTGCAAACTATGTGATGTTTATACTCAAATTAATCACCATCTTATAAGGATTCCAGCAATATGATAAAAACTAAGCCTAAAGCTACCTTCACCCAGGCTAGGAGGGAAGTTAAGTGCCCCTTCATAATTTTGTCTGGACTAAAGGAGGTGCCGGACCATCAGATCCCGAATAATCGGTGGTGTACCTGTAGTACATCTTCGAAGCTAGAATCAACTACTGGTTGTAAAAAAAATAGACTATGCTTTCAAATGAAAATCATTTTCATTTTGTTGAAAGTCAGGTTATAGGATATTGTCATCGAGGAAAATATCCTGACATATGCAACATCCATTTGTCACATGTATATGAATAGTAACAGAGCATTGCACAGTATCTAAAAAAGTATCTGCCAGGATGGGTCTGATGACTTCTGAAATGCTACAGCAACTCGTGATGTCCAGAATATCATATTAATTATGCCAATATAAATACACATTGCATCTAATACACTATAGGACTAGACGTGTACGTGTGTGTGTGTGTGTGTACGTGTGTGTGTGTGTGTGTACGTGTGTGTGTACGTGTGTGTGTACGTGTGTGTGTGTGTACGTGTGTGTGTGTGCGTGTGCGCGTGTGCGCACGTGTGCGTACATGTGCGCGTGTGCGTACGTGTGCGCACGTGTGTGTGTGTTCTGGGCAGCCAAAACGGCACAATCGTTTTTCATCAAACTTGGTGGAAAAATCACAAAAAATTTGTAGTGGAACAAACCTGGTCCTATGTTGATGGTTTCTTTAGGAAGGCATTAATTAACCATTTTGTTGTTGTACGCTGTCAGCCGGACAGCAGTTGCGCGCTAGCCAAGCACGAGCGTTCAAACTTTCATCGGGCACGAAGGGCCCACGTTCACTTATGTTAAACTATACAGGGCAGGGACGCACATATCCCAATATCTATCATCCGTGGTCTCAATGTTTCACACACTGTGTGGACATATACTTTTTTGAGATACTGTACAGTACACACATTCTAAAGCATCAGAGACCATATATACTTCTTTCCCTCAACATATAACCCTTCTCATTCTAAACATGGTAGTCTCTAATTTCTACATCTTCCATCTTAATAAACAATATGGAAGAGACAGAAAGAAAACTAAACATTTAGCCATACACTAGTGGCTAAAGGTTGAGAAAGTCTACCACTAGTGCAGATGCTCATTATTAATCCTCATCTTCATATTTACTCACCATTCAATTGTTCATTCTCATTCTCAATTTGGTCCTCTATAATACAGAATAACATTTACAAATTATTGTACAGTAAGGTTCCACCTAATTGATATACATTACTGAAAAAGTGCTTGCTAAGTGAACCCTCATTCAAGAGAACCATTTTCTCTTAGGATTCCAGGCCAAACTATTTTGACCCTGCAATTAGTCACTGATATGATATGCACACAGGAATGCCACTACAAATGGCAATGTATTCTGGGAGCACCTTGAAGTAGCAGCTACAATGACCATATATTTACTAGAAAAATGTATATCAGTAGTTTCCTTACAAAAATCATGATGTTCATTGGCAAGGAAATAGTGACTCATGGATGATCAACTGCCTAACTCGCAGTGTATTGTGGAGGTGACGTCAGCCCACAGGATGTGTAAATGGTAGTGGGAAACATGAAAATATTTACGATATAAACAGTTTACCAGTCTACATTAATATGAAGCCAATAGTCATTTAAGGATAGTTAAATTAATTTTGAGTATTTCCTCTCTTAGTAATCACTAAGTGCTATAATTCAAAATCATCCTGCGAGTGATAAAAAATTTATTACCCACTATCACATCCTGCATGTCAGCCTAATAAGCACCTGGATAGCCTTATTTTTTCCTTATTTACTCTTAAGTCTCATATGGAAACAAAATACAACACCACCATTCTATCTTATTCTTTATTCGTACAGTATACTGTATACTAGTTAACTTATTTAAAAAAATTTTAAGGATAGCGCACCTTGCTAGAATCCATAATGCTTTCTGAATGACAAGAGAGCTGTAGACAATACAAGGGCAAAGATACTGGCCTGCATTGCACCCAGAAAGCAAATAACACCATGTTGTCTAGGTTCACTAGCTAGCCACTGCTCAATGTATAGAAAACAAATCTGAGTACACTAGCCTGGTTGGCCACTCAACAAATACAAGGAGGAATAGCTCCATGAATGATAATGCGAATTGTGTTCACATGGAATTTTGCTCGAATAAATTGAACTCCCCCTCGTTCATTGAACTTTTCATACCCTAAAATACTATACCTAATCTGCCATATTCTTATTCACTAGTTATTCATTCGGCAGGACCTTACTGTATATAGAATTAAATAAAAATATCATTACAAAATCACACAGTATACCTGTAATATTACCAAAACCTAACACATCACAATTTTGAGACAAAGCAATAAAAGGCAACACAGATTTGTGATACATGCTCTTCTTACTCACATGCTCCAGGTTGGCATACAGAGGATTGTCAAGGGCCTGAGAGTGTGGCCTGGTGGGGTCTAAACCACCTCCTGCCCCCTGTGGGTGGGAGCTGACAGCACTGCGGTGACCAACTTCAGGAGTAGAGTGACCCGATGAGTTGTCTGAGTCACGGGAAGGAACTGCCACCATGTCGCTGCCCACCTCCCCTTCCTGTCACATGCAACATTCCAACATGACGCAACCCAGGACATGTACAGGCACAGACACGGTGACAAGACGCCAGGTATTGTAATTAAAGAGACCATGGAGTCAAACAATTAAAAATAGGTGCAGATGAGTGTACAGCATACAAATATAAAGCACCATAACAATGCATCACTTAGCTGCAAGTGCAAAACAGAGGAAAAGAATATATCTATTTGCAATACCACAGGTGACAATGATACCAAACAGAAATAGTACAGGCATATTAAGTAAGTAGTAAAGAAAATAGTAATCATGAGCAGTGAACATAACACTCCAATAAAAAATAGTAACATCTGACATGAATAGTAAAAGCATGGTTGAGTTGTAGGTAAAGCATAGAAAAAGCTAATAAAATGGCTATGTATGTGTGTAATACAGGAGGTCCTCATTATAAAAGTATTCACTATCCGCGGTTTTGCAGTTAAGTGGTCAACTTTTTGTGACCATCCACGTAAAAAGTCCCCTTCTTTGTTTCATCCAGACCAGAGTTGTGTTGTGTTTACTCCTGCCTTTGTTGTGTTTTTTTTGTGCATGTTGTGAATTATTCTATTATTTTTGTAGCTATGAGTTCCCAACCCAAACAGGGTGGTGCAGCACTCAAAAGGAAGCACACGAGCTACAGTGTAGATGTAAAAATAGAAGTGCTTAGGCAAAAGACGAGTGGGAGTGGACAATCCATGTGGTCCCATTTCTTTTTCATCCTCCAACTAATCCTCCATCCCCCAACACCCACCTCCATCAATCCAATCAAGCCAAACATCTCTACCTTTGAAGCCAAGTAAATAAAAATTTTATTATGCAATAATTATTTATTTTTAAAATATTATTAGTATTTTGTCTCAATGAACCACTGGATGGAGTGAGTGAGCACCAACAACGGTTGCTGTAGACCACCGGGTCACTGGCATAACCAACGTTGCCTCAACAGACTGACTCCAATGAACTTTAAGGACATTAGATAACTTAGTTAAATAATTTCTTAAAATAATGTGTTATCAAATGTTTAACAAATGTTTCTAAGGTAAATAAATGTTATAAGTTATCATATAAAATTATTTGAGTGTCATGTACAATGTCATGGTCCCAATTTGACCAATTTCCATTATTTCTTATGGGATTAATTCCCCGCTTTAAGTGGATTCATTATCAGAGGCATTTTTCTAGTCTCAACTCACTGCAGATAAAGAGGACCCTGAGTGTGTGTGTGTGTAATTATATATATACAGTAATACCCCGATTTACGCGGCTTCGCTTTACGCTATTCTACATTTACGTGGTACCTCGCCAGAACCGGAATTTCATTTTACGTGGTGCATCTACTCATATACGCAGGTGAAGTATAATTTTTTTATTTAGCTCATAAAATTCATACATATTACCCGGCCAGAATATAATTTACATTGCTAGAATTCTTACAATATGATGATCATTTTGAATATAAACATCATGGATTTTGCATTAGACATACAAATTTTAGATCTAATGTAATAATTTGGTTTACACAAAGCAAATATTTTGTCTTTTGTGCAAAATATATGAAGCTTACATTCAAAATATTCCCTGACCTGCAAGGAATCCAGAAATGTCAATTATATTATCCTAACTTTAATCTGATGTATTATTTATTACTAAAAATGTAAATATACTGTTTTCTCCCAAATATTTCTCTGGTAGGGAGGGAAGGTAGGGGGTAGGGAGGGACCCAGCGAGCGTGAGAAGAGGGGGGGAGCCGGAAGTGGGGTATTTTGATGGACAGATAGTGTCTGGGTGAAGTATATTTTTTTTATTTAGTGAAGATATTTGTTTTAGCTCATAAAATTCATACAAATTACCCGGCCAGAAAATAATTTATATTGCTGGAATTCTTACAATATGATGATCATTTTGAATATAAACATCATGGATTTTGCATTAGACATACAAACTTGAGATCTAATGTAATAATTTGGTTTACACAAAGCAAGTATTTCATCTTTTGTGCAAAATATATGAAGTTTACATTCAAAATATTCCCTGACCTGCAAGGAATCCAGAAATGTCAATTGTATTATCCTAACTTTAGTCTGAGGTATTATTTATTACTAAAAATGTAAATATACTGTTTTCTCCCAAACATTTCTCTGGTGGGGAGGGAAGGTGGGGGGAGGTAGGGAAGGTGGGGGTAGGGAGGGAAGGTGGGGTGGGAGGGAAGGAAGGAGGGAGGGAGGAGGGAGGGGAAGGAGGAAGGAGGGAGGGAGGAGGAGGAGGAGGAAGGAGGAGGAGGAAGGAGGGAGGAGGAGGGGAGGGGAGGAGGAGGACCCAGCACACGCGAGAAGAGGGGGAGCCCGAGGTGAGGTATTTTGATTGACAGATTGTGTCTGGGTGAAGTATATATTTTTTATTTAGTGAAGATATTTGTTTTAGCTCATAAAATTCATACAAATTACCCAGCCAGAATATAATTTACATTGCTGGAATTCTTACAATATGAAGATCATTTTGAATATAAACATCATGGATTTTGCATTAGACATACAAATTTTAGAACTAATGCAATAATTTGGTTTACACAAAGCAAATATTCTACCTTTTGTGCAAATTATATGAACTTTACATTCAAAATATTCCATGGCCTGCAAGGAATCCAGAAATGTCAATTATATTATCCTAACTTTAGTCTGAGGTATTATTTATTACTATACCTTAAAATCTATTGTTTTCACCCTAACATTTCTCAGAGAGGGAGGAGCCATTGAGCGTGGGAAGAGGGGGGGAGGGAGTCGAGACCATTATTTGAATGGACATTTACCTGGCAAATGTATTTCTCAAATATTAATTGTGTGTGCGTACCATCATAAAATTAATATGTTATTTTTACTACAACATAGGTATTGTGTCGGAAAAAGTGGAGTTTGGGGGTTGGGCCAGTCTCTATTGGAATTAATCCCATATGTTCTGTTATTCATTTACGCGGTGTTCGTTTTACGCTGTACCCCGTGGGTTCAATTGACCGCGTAAATCGGGGTACCACAGTGTGTGTGTGTGTATATGTGTATATATATGTATATATATATATATATATATATATATATATATATATATATATATATATATATATATATATATATATATATATATATATATATATATATACATATATATATATATATATACATATATATATATATATATATACATATACATACATATATATATACATATATACATATATATATACATATATATATATATACATATATATATACATATATATACATATATACATATATATACATATATATACATATATATACATATACATATATATATATATATATATATATATATATATATGTACAGTATACCTTAACACCGTCAATTGAACCACAGGTACGTGTTAAGTGAAAGGCGTTAAGTGAACAACAGAACATATGGGATTAATTCCAATCGAACAAACTCTAAAATAACATGTAATTATGGTACACACAATTAATACTAAGAAAGAAATAGAAATACAGTTGCCAAGTGTGTCATTCAAATGACTCAACTCCCTACACCCTCTTCTCTAGAAAACCACTAGATTTTAATAAATAATATCTCAAACTAAAGTTAGGATAATATAATTGACATTGCTGGATTCCTTGTAAGACCAGGAATATTTTGAATATAAATGTCATATATTTTGCACAAAAGATAACATATTTACTCAAGAGTAAACATTATATCTAAAATTTGTATGTCTAATGCAAAATATATGATGTTTATATTCAAAATGATCATCAAATTGTAAGAATTCCAGCAATGTAAATTATATTCTGACCGGGTAATTTGTATGAATTTTATGAGCTAAAATTAAAAAAAAAAAAATATTCTTCACACATAACAGATGGTTGGTCAGTCCCCCCACCAGATGTGTGGGAAAACCAGAATATTTATGTTTTTAGTAATAAATAATACCTCAAACTAAAGTTAGGATAATATAATTGACATTGCTGGATTCTTTGTAAGACCAGGAATATTTTGAATACAAAGGTCATATATTTTGCACAAAAAATAACATATTTACTCAGTAAACATTATATCTGAAATTTGTATGTCTAATGCAAAATCTATGATGTTTATATTCAAAATGATCATCATATTGTAAGAATTCCAGCAATGTAAATTATATTCTGGCCGGGTAATTTGTATGAATTATGAGCTAAAACAGGCAGGCAGGCGGGTGGGGCGAATCTAAAAATAGCATCACGAGCCGGACACCCTGCGCGTATACGTGGGAAACTGCGTTAAGCGGGGTATTACTGTATGTATATGTTTATGTATGTATATATATATATATATATATATATATATATATATATATATATATATATATATATATATATATATATATATATATATATATATATATATATATATATATATATATATATATATATATATCAGTATTAATAGCCAATCAGAAATACAGAGGAACCTGGGGACAATTATTATAAGCTTAAGATTTATGTTAAAGAAGCAAAATTTTTACAATCATAATCAGACAAAGGGTTTGTATGATATGGGTTAGGAGGAACAGACAGATTCTTGGGACATGGGTTACTCCTGAAAAAAGATGGGAATTTCAATGGGATCAGGTGAATGAATAATTCATCTTAACTAGGAGATGTAAAAAAAAAAAAATGATATTGAGCATTTGTAAAATAATGTCATAGGAAAGAAGAAATCCACTAAATTATGAGGTGAACTAGGCAACCTTCCTGGTCTATAGTTATAAACATATATAATTAAATTAACATTTGATGTTCGGCAATAGCATAACTAAATGTAGACAAAATCCTTGCAGAAAAGTAGACCAAGAATTGCACAGTAGGAAGAAATGTGACAAAACAATATATGGCGGCCCCTCAATTTGTGTAGAGGTTACTTACTTGAACAACCTTGTACAAATTATTAGAATTTGCATTTCCTTGTCTCAAAAACTTAATACTACCAGCCATTATTTGCTTAAATAATGAAGAAAATTATATTAATGAGTCGGCAACTCAACTACAACCACAAGATTCTCACATCAAATTTTCTTCATTATTTCAGTAAACACAGTACTGTATATGAACATTTGGCAACTTCTCATGATCTAAAATAATGATGAATAGTTTATTATTATAAAAATGCTACCTTTAGTTTGTTTAATATTTATCCTGACAGTGATACAGCAAAATAGATCCACCAATCACAATCACCTTTACATACAGCCTTACTTTACCAAGTATTGCCACGTAAAGTTGTGAGTACGAGACCCAGTTTGGGGTCGCTGGAACTTTGGCTGAATTTACATATTGCACATCACAAATAAACTGTCTGTTGACTTATCCCCCTACACCCACCCTACCCCTCCCACTACTTGCACCCTATCTCAAATCTTCTAAATATAGCAAGCAATGATCATTCAAAACAGGAAATTGAAGCGTTCTCTTTCTAATAAGGAAGTTTTGGCCCTTATGAGGCAAGTTCCTTTTTCACCCTGCTTGAGGAATAATATTCCCAGTTCTTGTCAAATGCATCTGCCCAACCAATATATAACAGGGAAGTGTGGATCATTGGTTAAAAAAAAAAATATTGTGTGTTCTCCACTTCAAGAGCAAAAGATTGTCTCCACCCCCCCCCCCCAAAAAAAAATGTATCCTAGAATTTCTATATCTAGCTTTTGTGGACTAGATAAGCTTAAGGACAATCAAACACAATGAAAGAAAGCCTTTATCCGCAAATGGAAATTTAAATGTCCTTTACCTACTATCCCCTCAAACTGCCTTCAAGAAACCTTAGTGACAGAAGAAAATTCCTAATAATGACCTCTTTGTAATAACACCAAGAACTGCAGTATATACTAGCTATCAGATCCCTGAGTATCTGCAATCAACTCATCACTTGTTTTAGTACAACAGAAGCAGAGCAGAGAAGAAATACGCTGTCCTCTAAGTTTCGGGAAGGAAGTAGATTTCGAGATGGCAAATCGATTTAAAATCAAGATGGCTGACCATAACCATTAGCTTGAGCAGGGGCTCCCAACCTGGTATTCAGGGAGCCCCTGCTTTGTAATGGGAGACTTTGTAATGGGAAGACAGATTGGTATCCAAATGGACTAACGAACTCTGGTTGATGTTGGGGAGCCTATCTATGGAAAAAATATTTTCTAGCAACTCATCCATTTGAGAGAAACTTCATTTCAGGGCAATTTAAAAAATACGTATTCCATAGCCATTTATCATACGAGTACTGTATGTACCTTTATGGAATCCTAATATTTTGCTTTTTGGATAATGTTTAGATCCTCTCCCAAAGCTTTATCACCCATCAACTCATTAAAACACATACATGTGGGTATGCTGATTCTCACTGCAGTTTCAAAAATTTTGTATTTATAATTTCTTTTTTACTGTAATTATCATCTAATACTAAAGACTTTGCTTTTCCACTTTTGTGACTAAGTAAAAAAAGTACTGGTATACCAGAAGAGCATACTGACATTTCCCTTGTTCAACAGTTTTATTATACTTGTATAACTTAATTCAAGCCAATGCATATGACTGAGAAACAAGTCACTTCTTTATTTCAGAGTGCCACAACTTGTGTTGTAAAGAACTTCATTGCATAGTTAAAATTTTGGTCTTAGTGTGTGTCGAGTTACATAGAAATCCCATAAGCAAAACTTAAACAAATTGAGGGTTTACCATATTTACCGTTTAGCTTGAAGGGAGAAAAAGAAAGAAAAATATGCTAAATCCATGAGACCTTAACAATATTTGTGCATGAGAAATATGGAAAAAAAATACACCATAGGCACTGACTGGACCCTTCATAAAGCAGTCCAATCAGAGTTTTTAAAAGTGGTTTGCTGCTTATGGACAACTCGAGCAAAGAACTGTCCACTAAAATGAAAGACTTTAAAACCTTCATTGAGTAACAAGGCTTAAAAATATAGGGTCAAATAAGCTGAAGATTATTTAGTTCAGATCCAAACAAATGGTTGCAAATGGAAATCCATCCACACACTTCCAATGGTGTTCATTTTTTTTTTTTTTTAACATTTCAGGTGGGAAACTTTAGATTAATATATCCCCATAGCTTTAAATAGTACTCCCACATTCCTGTAATGGGTGTAGAATTTGAGATATGAAAATAAGAAGAAAAAAAAAGGAAAAAATCTATTTAAAGAAAAGTAATTAAAAAGGTGAACCAGACCGAAATGGTAAGAAAAAATGTAATTGCTCAATGATATGAGTAGGAAACTTCATGCAAATCTAAGACATTTAACCATCTAATATCTACTTATAACACCAGCTGCATGTGCTCAATTGTCCTTTATGATGTACTCTGACAGCCAACAGCTAAATAGACTAAACTAACAAACATCATTAAGTGGGTTAAAGAAACATGAAGCTTCAAAGTTAACAAACTTGTTCATTCAAATATTTACTAAAATTAGACTGAAGTTAAATTCATAGATATTAAATATATGTAGTAAATAACCAGTACCAATTGGATAAATTTTTTGAATAGGTTCTTTAACCCACATAACATGAGAATATAATTTGCAAACCTTATGATTGTCATATGACATAAGCTGCATTGAGGGTGGCAGCTGGGCATGGAATCCCAATTTGGTAACCCATTCCTCAAGATTTTCTCCAGATTCTGCGACAAAGAGGTACTCTGCATTGTCTCGGGTGATCACTCTGTTACCAATACAATAATAGGATTAGACAAAATCAAAGTATCATTTTATGCAATATATACATATACACCCACCTCGCGTTTTAGGCAGGGGTTACGTTCCTGAAAATCACCTCTTAATTAAAAAATGCGTAAATTAAGCATAATTTTCCCATAAGAATACATGTAAATGGTACAGGTTAGGGGAACCATCATATAACGTACAGGGTACAAACAGTGCTCTCACTTAAACCAAGCACGAGGCCAACCTCTAACACACGCTCTCATCTCTGAAGGCGGGTGATCACATTTAATCTCATATCCATTGCGATTGTTTTTCATGCCTTTTTAGCTTTAGGTGTCCTAGAGGAGGCAGATAGACGTTTTCCAGACATGCTCAATGGGGAAAACAGCGTTAAACACTAAAAAGGTACGTGATAAACACACAATGCAATGAGAGCAAAGAGAAAAAGTAGTGCTGGTGTGAACCGAGAAAGCGATATGCGGGAAGCTTGCTGCGAATTTGTCAGGTTATCTAGGCTCCTAAGTTGGTCTGGCACTCACCTGGCCTACCTTGTCTTGTGTTTTAATCAAGTGTCAAGATGCTTTATCATGTTATCTAGGATCCTAACCTGTCTAGAGTCTACCCTGGTATATCTTATCTAGTATCATAATCAAATGTCTGGTGTTTATTCAAGGAGTCCCTTGTCTATTTGTCAGGAGTTCCTAACCCTTGTTGCTCCTACTACATCATTATTAATTAATTTTATATTTAACTACAGTAACTTGAATTGTTACATTTATGTTTTGTTTATACAAAATTATCTCTCTTGTTTGAAATACAGAAGATTTCATTCTTCCCAACCAATAAATAATAGCCGTTTCTTTATCGGTATTTTAGGCGTCAGTCTTTCTCACTGAAAAAAACTGTGGGGATCTTTCATCTCACTTATGCATTCAAATTTTTCCTATTAATATTTTAGGTCAGGCTATGGGAAACCCTCTAGACTAACAGGCTGAACAATCAAACCTCGGAAAGCAAGGCAAGACGCGAGAACGTCAATAACTCCCCATACAGTGTCATGTTTAAAAACAACCAAGATGAAGATAAATTCAAAGAACCCACCTGAAGACATGCTTCTTCTTTGTATAATCATCTGCTATCTCAATCTTTGCTTGGTGGATGGATATGGGGGGTGAGGCAGCCTTCTGATCGTAAAAATCTTCATCATCCTTGAAGAAGCACAACAACTGGCCACACAATACTGTGAAGGATATTGAAAAACCATGAAACAGGGTTTTTTAACAAAATTTTATGCCTATTTTCATATATTAACACATCAGAATACAATACTTCCTGCAAAAGCTGTAGAAATAACTAGTTCACTCTTAATTCACATGTTTTCCACAGGACATTTGGGAATATTTAACTAAATATCTGGCGTTTGTTTGTTTATTTATTTATTTGAGATAAGATTTGACAGTTGGCGCTGAAGGCCTGCCTGCGTGTTTATTTATCATTGCTTAAGAGTGACTAAGCTCTTCTCATAATTTGCCACCCAAACAACCTGGGTGAATATAACTTACATTAGAGGGATTCTTGTAAGATAGTAATTAATTTGAATACCTGTATAAACAAGCTATATTTGCAATAGACAACAATTTTAGTACCGTAATCATTTAGTACATGTACAATACAGGTTTGCACTTAGGTCCATTGTTACTGTACAATATTGACTAAATTCACTAGATAACGTACGCCTGGCTGCACAATCTATAAGAATACGCGATGCATACGTGACTGTGCCCGCTCTAGGTCCCATTATTTGAATGTTTTTTTTTTTTCAATTTAAATTTAAATTGTTTATTCCTTGATAGAGGAAGCGGGATCCTAGTGCTGTCACTTGGTACCCCTGTACCATAACACAAGAAGCAACTGGCCAGTGTCACAAGTATATACAGTACAGTCATCCCTTGGTTATTGCGCCTAATTGGGACCCCGCCGATAACGAAAGTACAGAACCTATGGGATTTATTCTAATTGGTTCAGGCACCCAAGACCCAACCCCAAGTTTCCCATTTTACGACCATTTAGAACCACTAAATATATATATATAATGTTATGGTAAATATCATAACACACACACAGGCATGGCTAGGTTTATTACAAAGTGATGAAAAGGGTATGCTTAATACTGTAGTCCAAAAAACATGTAGCTATGCTTTTTTTATTTGGTCCCCCGTCATACGAGTCCGTTTTCTCTCACATCAGGACGCCCGAGTCCTCCGTTTTCTCTCTTAATCTTAGAGCGCACCAGAAACTTTACTATTTTTAGTAATGCCACAGAATTTGAAATTGCAACCCCAATTGCAACTGGGGTTGCAATTGTTGAGGCAACTAGATATGTCTGATTACAGCAAATGTGTTATTGTCAATTTGTAGGTGAAAGATTTTATCCTCAATAGATGTAGGTTAACATTTCACCTGTAGGCAAATGCTTAAAAAAGCCTAAGTAAGGAAGCATATTCCTTTAACACATAATATCTGACCAGTATGGGGAGGATCATCGTGTCTCCGTCAGGGGGTCGTGGAGTGGTGGTCCAGCAGGCGTCACTTTTTTGGGGGGGGGCCATGGACGTATATGCGATCGGACGTTGTTCGGTTGGACGTTAACCGGCGCATGACTGTATATATATATATATATATATATATATATATATATATATATATATATATATATATATATATATATATATATATATATATATATATATATATATATATATATACACACACACACATATATATACACCTAGACCCCGACTTACGACGGGGTTAGGGACCCAAATCCAGGTCGCAAGTCCGACATGGTCGTAAGTCCGACATAGATAAAAAAAAAATAAAAATAAAAAATTAATAAAAAATCTACAATGAAATACAGTACAGTAAAAGTAATGAATAATGATGAATGGATACAGTACAGTGAAAGTAATAAATAATAAGGAATGGATACAGTGTGACTGAGCACTTAACCTTTAATGTAGTCAGCTGAATGCACATGGGGCCCCCATAATTTTCTAATTATACATGGAGACTACATTAACTGGAAACGTTTCGGTATAGAAAATGCGTGTGTCATTTAAAAAAAAAAAAAAAAAATTTATCTATATCTGAGGCGGTCGTAAGTCCCGACGGTCGTAAGTCCACGTAGTCGTAAGTCGGGGTCTAGGTGTATATATACAGTGGGGTATGCTATAACGAATCTAATTGGTTCTAGAACCTTGTTCGTTATAGCATTCGTTCGTTATAGGATTAATCCGTTCCAGGACCCCAAATACAACCACTTAACACTGAAAAATATAATATAAAATTGTAAAAATTGTAAAAAAGTGCATAAATATGCATCTAAACCCCTGAAATAAAGAATATCATTAATATTTGTAATAAAAAAACAATAAATTAGTAAAAAAAAAAAAAAAATTAAATAATGTTCGTTGTAGGAGTTTCATTTGTTATAGCATTCTCAATTTTATAGGTAAAACCGTTCGTTATAGGAATATTCGTAATAGGATCCATTCGTTATAGCATACCCCACTGTATATATATATACATGCAAGTAAATCACTGTAGGTGCGCTGATTCTGCTTCAGGGTGAGTACAGACTGTACTCACCCCTGAAGATGTGAATTACACGAAAGCGCTTGGGAACTTCGTCTTTCTTCTTCTTGTATATATATATATATATATATATATATATATATATATATATATATATATATATATATATATATATATATATATATATATATATATATATATATATATATATATATATATATATATATATATATATATATATATATATATATATATATATATATATATATATATATATATATATACATGAATCGTTGTCAAAGGGGGGATTTTGGCTGTTGCTGGAGACTTTTTAATTTACAGTAAAAATAAGAGAAACCTGTATTAGCCTACTATTAATTGAGTCTATAAAAAAAGCCCTTTCAAGAAGGGAAGATGACTTCACAACTTATAAATGATAAATCATGACATCTTTTTGCAAGTGAGAAAATTATATCACAGTACAGTATTCATGAGAAGTTAGCTAAATACAAGCATTTAACATTATCTTTGGCTACTAACCTGTGTAAAATATTTTCCACGATCTGATGGTTGCCTTCTTGCCACCACTCTGCAATTCCTGTTTCCGCTCTAGATAACCTTGGATCTCCACTGGTGGAAGGTTAGCCATATTTTCCATGCGCTTGTGTTTGCGGAAACTTTGTGTTCTCCGCCGGGTGGTGAAGCTTGGAGTACGTTTGGCTTTCTTGAGATCAACTTTCATACTTTCAGCTCGCTTGATATCTATTTTTGAGTAATAGTAATCAAATCAATATTTATTTGGCAAATAAAAATTATGTTAAAAGATTTTTGGCAGAAATATTTTACAGTACTTAAGGAATTATTTATTTTTTTAAAATAAAATTTCTTGTGTATATTAAAATCTCCTATTAAAATCAACAGATCATGAACACAGATGCTTACACCAGTACAACACACACCAAAATATGTGCTAACTACCATGATGAATACTGAACTAATATGACCTACAGGTGTACAAGCAATGGGAAGCTTTTCACTTGAAGCAAATCATAAACTATTTTTAAATAATGTGAAAACCATGAAATTAGATATATGATGCATATCACACATTTCCTAGCCATGGGCCAGCAGTAATATTAAAGGTTTGAAAAAAATAAACAAACAAACAAAATAAATTAAAGGTAAGTAAGTTATAAACAGTAGGCAACTGTCGTCCAGAACCAACACCAGTGAATGTCTTCAGCATGAAACATGCAAAATGATAACTCCTTGAGATTAACAGTCAAAAAAAAGCAGAGCTTGTAGCCTACATTACCCTCTTTCCAATAATATAAATCAATCATGCTAAATCCATATTCAAATTTATGGGGTACCATTCCTCACAGATACCACTGAATGTGTTTAGTGAAACCATAATTATTACATTTAGTGAAACACCTCATGCCTTCCACAAACTGTGTGGTCGCAATATTCCATGTGAAAATGTAGCCCATAGATATTAATAATAAGTCTCCATAAAGTTTGCATGCATGGGGTGGAATTTCTCTAATAAACCATTTCTCCATAAATCTTTTGTTTCTTACCTACGATGTTGAAGATTTCTTCAATTCTATCATTACACAAAAGCTTGGAAAATATAATTCATTAACACAATCTTTAACTTATGGTAATACAGAATCACAGTCAAAATGAATTCATATTAGTATGTGTACTGGGCATACTGTATATATAAACTAGAGTACAAATGTCCCTCGGGAGATACTTTTTCTTTCATGCCTCCATTGTCAAGATACACAAGATATTATTATGGTAAAAAATACTGGTCTTGTGTAACATATTTCAACTTGTTCTTTTTAGACAAATCTCCTCTGTATACTGCATGTGTACTCTCCTCTTTATTCTTTCCAATATTAATTCCAGAGCTACAGCAAAACTGTGTAAAGCAAATTTTCTCCATCACTGATCCCCTTAATCACGAAGACATAACTCCTCATTAGCGAGCTAACTACAGTAGTACCCCAAGAGTCCTAATAGCCGGCAGATTTAACTAACCGGCATCAAAATGAAATAACGACAATAAAGATTCCTCCAAAATCAGCTAGAATAATAAGTTTGAATACTATGCACAGCAGGGATGAGCTGCATTATTCATTGCAATGATAAAACACTAAAAGTGATACCTAGTATACCATAATATACAATACCTGTACCACATATTTTATGTCGAAAAATAGCTCTTTTCACACTCAAACCATCCTACGGGTGACATGACACAGTTCAGCCATGCTGTCACCCAGCTGATGCACAGAAATGTGATTGCCACACAGCGCTGTGTGTATGACATAGCGTCACATCAGAGGGAGGGAGTGCAGCCACTCAGTTATAGACCACCGCCTCCACACACATGCACACCCATGCTCTTCATTTTTTTTGTTTTATATTTTTATATTATATTTTCATTATTTCTAAGCCACATCATTTATATAGAGTGGAGTAAGCATTAAAGAAATCCATTTTCTGAGACACAAATTATCAAGGTCAGCCAGTAGCATTGCATTGTGGGATTGATTGAGAGACCCTAAGGGTGAGGTTCAACTAACTGTTAAATCACTTTATCCAGCACCTCTTGATCCCGCTAGGTGCCGGATAACTGGGGTTCTACTGTGTCACCATTCATGTTTTGTCTTAAAACCTCAGCAAAATTCTCCACTCAGTTAAAACTAATAGACTATCTCAAGTAAAATCATGTGTCAAGAAATTCTAAATACAGCATGCCCTGAAAATTTGCGAATTTTAATTTGGAGACCGCGATTATTCGAGGATGACACCCTGGATGTACCCTGTGAATTTTAAGAGCATGCTGTACATGGTCATCTTGGCATCGTGTTTAACAAAATTGAAATATTCACTGAAGACTGTCAAATGGGCTACACTTCAAAAACAGCCCTACAATTTTGCAAGAAAAGCCTCATATAGAATACAATACAGGTGCATAGAAAAGACCCCCACTTGACACATACTGGTCCCAAAACCAACCACCGATTCTGTGGGTCACTAGTCAAGAGACCGCATTACTGCGTTATATTGCGCTATTTTATTTTATTTTCTCATAAATTTTCTTAATTTTATGCAGTTCTCTGTATTTTACCATGATGTACCAGAATACTGTACATGACTTGGTTTTGTTTAGTAGGTGAATAAACCTTCTAAAGTTTAAACATTCTTGAGTAAATTTTTTGGACCTACAGTCCCCAACCCCTTATTTTGTGTTGAATTACAGGTCTTTTTACCATGTTTTATGGCATAAAAGATGCACCTTTTCTTTCTGAAAAATGGCTAAGACAATCAGCCTGCATTCTATATGTGAAGTTGAGGTCTCCCATAAACTAATGAATCCCCCAGATGCTGTTTCCAGTTGGCTAAATTCTACCTTAACCAACTCTAGTATCAAAAATATGTTATTGGTTAACACATTATTTTTAATTAATTAAAAAATAATGATTGTAAATGTAAAAGCTCATTTATAACTACTGTACTGATGATCATAACCCAGAGACAATAAAAGTCCACACGGCAGACCCCCAACTCTTTAGAGGTAGCTAAGCAGTAATCATTTCTGAACTCTTACAATCATTACAATCTATTAATGCCATACCTGCAACATTTATTTTTAAATATACAAATACTTAATACAAATGGAGATTTAGAGATAGCTTTTTTCACAATTGCGTCTGTTAACATCACTGGTGGAATTGTAGACAGTTACTCATCACTGTAACCACCAGGCTGCTGGGCCAAGCTGTGAGGTGTTATGGTTGTTTTTCATCTCGTATTTTCAGGTAGATATATGTAACTTTCTTCATTTATTTTTACTCAGTTATATGCACACACCACCCTTCATACATATTGTGAAAAAGTAAAATATATATATATTTTTTTTACGGGGATTAGCCCAACCGGGAACAGGTCACTGACCCACATCAGGGCCTGGGAGGAGAGGGGGGCCGAAAATGTAATAATAATAATAATTCAAAGTAAATAAAATTAACAATAAAAAGTAAAATGAAATATTAATGGTAATTATAAAAATAACAAAGCTGTGATACTAATAATAATAAATACAAAGAAATACAAGAATGAAAAAAAAATCAGTAGTGAGAAACGCTAAATGTATGTTGTGTTGTCATGTAAGAGAAACAGCTGAGACCCTACAATTGTGTGTAAATGTCCTAAGGGCAAACACAAAGGGAATATACATTTCTTTGCACACGAGTTAGCTGGCCCAGTGGGGTAGCAGGAAGAGACAAGGTGGGTGTGTGTGTGTGTGGGGGGGGGGTGTTGCTAGGGAATCAGCGAGGTAGCTTCCTTGCTGGTCTCTGTTGCTAAGGTGAAGCAGGGAGTATATGCAATTGGTGACTGTTAAACTTTCATTTGGCTTTTATTTACTGGCTTGTCAATACAGTATTTTTGGTTGGATCTTATTTACTGATATTTTTATTTATTCCTCACATTTACTACTACAATATATATTATTTTTAAAAGAAAACTATGGCTACAGGAGGAAAATCCACACAAAAGTTTTTTCTAAATACTCCCTGCTAAAATATGGCTGTGCATCTTATATGCCATAAAATATGGTATACAGTGGTCCCTCGGTTAACGAACACAATTCGTTCCACAGAGTCGTTCGTTAACCGAATCTATCATTTCAATGGGATATTAGGTAATTGGTTCCAACTCACAGAAAAAGAACATACAAAGTAGTGTATACCAGTAATAGAATTAACAAAACATTAAATATAAACTAAATACAGTACTGACCTGTACAGTATACAGTACTGTACAATACAATTGTACCCCGCTTTACGCGGTTTCACTTTACGCGATTTCTCATATACGCGGTGCCTCGCCAGAACCGAACTTTCACTTTACGCGGTTCATCTACCCATATACGCGTGCAGTATAATTTTTTTTTTCTATTTAGCTCATAAAATTCATACAAATTACCCGACCAGAATATAATTTACATTGCTGGAATTCTTACAATTTGATGATCATTTTGAATATAAACATCATAGATTTTGCATTAGACATACAAATTTTAGATGTAATGTTTACTCTGAGTAAATATGTTTTCTTTTGTGCAAAATATATGACATTTATATTCAAAATGTTCCTGGTCTTACAAGGAATCCAGCAATGTCAATTATATTATCCTAACTTTAGTCTGAGGTATTATTTGTTACTAAAAGTTAAAATTAGTTTTTTCACCCAACATTTCTCTGGTAGGGAGGGAAGGTGGGGGGGAGGGTTGGGACCGACCGACCATCTGGCGCGGTTGGAAGAGGGGGGGAGGCAAGTTGGGGTACTTTGATTGACAGATAGTGTCGTGAAGAATATTTTTTTTTTTATTAACTGAAGATATTTGTTTTAGCTCATAAAATTCATACAAATTACTGGACCAGAATATAATTTACATTGCTGGAATTCTTACAATATGATGATCATTTTGAATATAAACATCATGGATTTTGCATTAGACATACAAATTTTAGATCTAATGTAATAATTTGGTTTACACAAAGCAAGTATTTTATCTTTTGTGCAAAATATATGAAGTTTACATTCAAAATATTCCCTGACCTGCAAGGAATCCAGAAATGTCAATTATATTATCCTAACTTTAGTCTGAGGTATTATTTATTACTAAATGTTAAAATCTAGTGTTTCATCCAATCATTTCTCAGAGAGGTAGGGGCCAGTGAGCTGGAAAGAGGGGGGGGGGGATTTGAGTCTATTATTTGAATGGACATTAACCTGGCAACTGTATTTCTTTTAAATATTAATTGTGTGAGCATACCATCATAAAATTTAGATGTTATTTTTACTACAACATAGGTATTGTGTCGGAAAAACTGGAGTATGGGGGTCAGGCCAGTCTCTATTGGAATTAATCCCATATGTTCTGTTGTTCCATTTACGCGGATTTCACTTAACGCAGTACCCTGTGGGTTCAATTGACCGCGTAAATCGGGGTACTACTGTAATAAATAAAAAACAATAGAATACTGTATTTTAACTTACTTTGAGGTATGTATGTCGTACTCCCGGCAGCTTTGTTTACATATCAAACAGCTGATTGTAGAGGCAGTGATGATGACATGCCATATTCTTTACAGAGTGCTTTGGTTCTAATGCCTTCTTAATGTTTCATAATAATTTCTGCACTGTATATTATCAATATGTTAACTATATTTCAGAATGACCAATAATATTAATAAAAAAAATGCAGAAATATTCAAGAGACCAACTTTCTTGATATATACTTCAGCTGATCAACTGATGCGCACAACAAAACGTGTTTGTCGTAAGGATTTCATTAATCGGTTTTTGCTCGTTAATCGAAATAAATATTCTTATGGTAGCTAATTCGTTAACCGAAATTTCGTTAAACGAACCCTTCGTTAACCGAGGAACCACTGTACAGTAAAAGTCCAAAAATCCGGATGCCAGGAATCCGGACCACCCGAGAATCCAGACTTTTCGAAAACTCAAACTTTTTAAATTTAGCGGGCTTTTGTGGGTTATGTGAATGAATGGAGTTGCTTTAAAAAATTAATTTACATAATTCTAATAATAAAAGTACGTAATTGTAAATTATAGGTAGCTAATTTTGTTAGTTTTGTAATAAGCTTGAACTGAAATGTAAAATTTGAGGCACTATAAATCTTTTGTGTGTATGTGTGCATGCGTGAATGCCACAGCTGCACAGGGACAACAAACGACCACACGATCGCCACTTTAAAACAAGCAATCAAACTGTTACAACGTATGTAATTTTGAGTCCTACTCTTTCCATGTACAGAGTACAAGCCCATAATAATGGCCCCTAAAGTAGATAAACTTCGTTGTGTGAAGAGAAAGAAGAACACATTGAAATTGAGTGACAAACTTGAAATAATTAAGAAACTAGAATGTAATGTGAGCAATGCTGTTCTAATGGAAACATACAACATTGGAAAGTCTACAATTTATGATATAAAAAAGGCAAAGAATAAAATTCTAGAATTCACAGCTTCTTCTGAGCCTTACATTAAAATTGCTGAAAGAAAAAGTTTACATTGGCCCAAATTAAAAAATCTTGATCAGGTGTTGCACGAATGGTTTTTGTTAAAACGATCAGAAGGTATGGCAATTTCTGGGCCAATGCTTATTGCCAAAGCAAAGTCTTTTAAGGAGCAAATGAACATTGAATCAGAGTGCACATTTAGTGATGGATGGCTAAGGAATTTCAAGACTTGCCATGGTATTAGACAGTTTGTTTACATTTTTGTCTAGTGTTGACTTTATTTTTCTTTAAAACTGCTCGTTTTGAAAAATGAAGCATGCTTTATTTGCTAATGAATAAACTATCAAAATGTACCTGTTCATCTCTTCTTTATTCCTCCTTAAATTTTAATTTTAAAAGTACTGCCTGAGAATCCGGAAAATCCAAAAATCCGGACCGACCCAATCCCCAAGCAGTCCGGATTTTTGGACTTCTACTGTATTGTGATTGGACTATTTCGCAAACATTCTCAGACCTTATCTTGAGAAATAATCTGAAAATACTTGAGAAATAGTTACTGTCAGCATGTATAATTCTTTAATAACATGATTTCTCTTGGTGTAGACAAAGAATCAAATCCTGATTGAGGATGGAATTGGTTTGATGGGAGTAAAATTAAAATAAACCCACATGCAGCATGCACTTACCAGCACCTCTGTTATAGGAAGGGTGTGATCTGAACATTTCCTGTCGTAAGCTGTTACCTCTCTTAAGGCTGCTCAGACTTGTCTGTGACCCAGATCTGTAAAGGCCACCACCACCATCAGGTACTTCCAGAGTTTTCCTGTTTGGGAGAACAAATTATTAGCAACAAATTATTTGCTAGTTTTGATTCACCAGAAAAAAAAAAGGACCAAAAATTTTCTCTTTAACCTTGACCCAAATCTGCATTAATTTTTCTGGTGAATCATTGACAATATACAAATTTATATACTGTATACTATGGGGAGGATTGCGAGTAAAACTGGAAAATGCTTTTTTCATTAAATTATTATCAGCTGTTTATATGTAATGTAAGTTTAGAAATTGACAATAATTCATTATTATGTTAGAACATATTTCATGTTTTGTGTCATGTTAGGTATTTAACGAACATACGAGACATTCAAGGGGCTTAGAATCCTAGACTTACGCTAACCACACAATTATATTCAAACACATTGATTATTTCCCAACACCAAGCAATGTTTCATATAATTACAAAGCTGTATGCTCTATGTGCAAATGTTTATTTCATGCTTCCCATTCAGCACACATGGGAAGAACAGACACCACCACCAATGACCACTTCACTGTAGCCATGTACAATTCGTATCATTAATTGCTCCCACAAACAATACGTTTTAAATGTTATTGCATAATCACTGAATCGTGCTGATGATGGGGCTTTTTAAAGCTATCTAAGCATTTAATAATACTATCTAATTTTTTAAAACAACGAATTTTAAGATGCTAACTTATACTGTATATATATCCTAATATTCACAACTCTAGTTTTTCTTAAAACACAGCACTGTTTAACTTGTATTTATTGATTTCATATACACTACACTACAGCAATCACAATAAATATAACCTATGGAAGCATTGGAGAAAATTGGTTTTGTGGTGCAAATTATCCTATCAATACAATTTTACATTTCCACACAGAACCTTAAATCATATAGCTACAAGCATCAACCCTTCTTAACAGGATAAACTTTATCAACTGTTGTGACAACAGGTACGAGTATAACGGTAAAATGAAGACAAATTTGAAAATATGACAAAGGCTACATTAAGAATTGGTTGAGCTATGTATCTATGACAGGCTTTTCTCATGATGCACTATTGCAGGATACCCCATGGCCATTTTACAATAATAAGCAATGGTTATTGAAAAATTTCAGAAGCTGTGCGTCGATGCGGATGTCAGACCAGGTGCTCCAGGCATGGTTTAATTGATTAGTGCATCAATACCTTATCAGAACCTCTCCCAGAGAGCTTGAACGCTTCCGGTACCTTGGGTGAACCTCAGGAGTGCTCGATGTCTCAGCTGCCTCAGAGCTGGAACTGTGTGGGCAGTGCAAGGTCAAGTGAGGTCAGGAAAGTTGAGTCAGTGCAAAGAGGTCAAGAACATGCTTCAACTAGTCAAACTATTATATTAATAAAAAAACAAAACAAAGAACTGGTTTGGAGTGCAGGGTAGTCTATTTAAGAGGAAATTTATCCATGCAAATCATATTAGAACAGCTTTGTGATACAAAAGTAACTGTACACTTTTATCTCCCAAAATGCAATCGACTAATACTACCATGCAGTTTTTGTTAAGTGGAAAGCTAAATGCTAAGTTAGAACCAAATGTTGGCCTATCAAACAAGCCACAGCAATAAAATAAAAATTATAGAAACTGAAAATCTCCCAAGGGCAAATTTGAGAAGGGAGGATGCAGTAGTAGAGGCAAAGAAATTGGGAAAAAATAATCAAGAAAATAGATACATAAAACAGATATGAAGCAGATCTGGCAGGACCAAGTGATAAAAATGGGAATAATGTGAACTACAGTTTATAGGTGTCACAAGAAAACTTAAGGGGGACATTACATTGATGGATAATATTGACATACAAAACTTTTAAAGGGCAAGATAATTTAGAAATTATAAATACAGTATGTATGAAAATACATATTATACCTGTAAAGAAATCTAATATCAAACCCCATTACAAGTAACCAAAAGACAGGAAATATATACAGACATTCCCCGGTTTATGGAAAAGTTCCATTCCTGTACCCTATCTGCAAGTTGAATTTTCGGTAATCCAAAAATTACCCTTCCATAAGGTAAATATGTACTGTATTGAACATGGAGCAGAAATATTATGACACATACGTAGAATTAAAATACTGTATTGTTGTTTTTCTTTTCTTTTAAGGCATTTTTTTTCTATTGGAGAAATATATCTAAGTAAGCAACCAAATGAACTTGCATGTTATGTATTGTCCACATTATTGTTAAAAGAGTCATTAACAAAAAAGTTTAATATACAGATCCAATCAGAATTTAGTGATACACTCTCGGTGGAATGCACATAGCTGTTGCGCTCTTCCTGGACAACAGGTTACTGAAATTAGTGTCCGAATTTCTCTGAAACTCGTTAATTAAAGTGTTTATCTTTATAGATATCATGCACTACCATCCTCATATTAACTTCTTACACATTACATCTTGCAGATTTTGCCCGAGAAACTGATATGCAAACACTTTCCATTTCTTATCAAATCTTTTGTATTATCCGTTTGGTGCACTAGTGTTGGTTATAACAGTAATCGTAAACGATAACAAGTTGTCAGAGAGAAACAATCTTTCAAACTACTTGTGAAAGAAAAATTTGAGCGAGTTTAACTAAGTGTGGCAGCGAAGAATAACCTGACTCGGCAAAACACACCTGGTTCGGTGTTGTTCTCCTCATGCCTATTAGTTGTTAAAATGTCCAATTCTAAAGCTTTATCACCGATTTTAAATTCACATTCACCCAAGCCTCGCACACCTAAGTATCGACCCAAGTGGTGTATGAAATAGCCGTTGGTTTATAAATAATGTAAAAGGCACATCAATGTTCTTTGAGAAATAACAAAATATTCAGTAAATGACACATTTTGTTCCTAGCATGAAGTTTGACCACCATCAACACCAAGCCACCACAAGTGAAAGGAGAGCCCTAAAAACATAGCTTGAGCAGTTTACACCAAACAGCTCGGCATATCCAGCCCGACCACTTATCACAAAATAATTACAATTTCTCCAGATTCTTTTTTTTCATCCCATAGCGCTGCAATAATGCCACCCTTGAAATCATATTGCTCCTACTTTTTACAATTAATGCAGTACATACTGTCCATCATGCGTAAAATGTGTAACACACTCACAAGACTTACATGCGTCTCTCTCTGTGTGGGCATAGAGCAACACAGCCAGTTGTATGAATGAATGTTATGTCCACCATTCTTCCTGTGCAGTACAGTTATGATACATGTAATATCTTCATTACGTTAATAATTAGTCGTTTAAAGGGGAATACAACAAATCCATCGATTATCTAAATCTATGTGAGCAGGTGAATAACTAATGAATCACTTACTGTTGCAGTAATGCTGCAGATTGATTTACATCCTATTTCTCCATTGTATTACGATATTCGAATGGATACTCCTTTCACAATGGTTTTCTTCTCGAAAGCAGGATATTAACATTTTCATCATCCATCAGCAATAATGTTGACTGATATTCATATTACATCCTTCCCATCTCTTTTTGACAAGTCATTGTTCGAATCAAGCTGCTCCATTGCCAGTTACCGAGTGCTTAAACAGTTGAGCTAAAATTCTTTCAAACCCTCAACTCTTCTCTTGCTTCTGAACTACTAGAGACATTTTGATAATCTAAAACAATAATTCTAATCTGCTATTCATTAAAACATTAAAATTTAATGCCTATTGGCACTTAAAGTTCTGATAAGCCACTTTCTCACATGAACTTTGAATCTGTAAAGTACCTCAACCAATTGGAAATGACTGCAACTTTGAAATACCATTCTTCTCATTTCAAACCTAAATGATACTATAAAATCAAAGTTCAAAAACTTCTGGAACAATACTGTACTCGTATCCTTTATTTTTGTTCAAGCTCTGAATGAGACGTCAGCAAATGCTACCTAGGTATGTTAATTCCTAGCCAATTTGACAGGCCAACATACAGGCAATTAAAACATCTAATAATTACTTAATAAGTAATATAAGAAGGACACGTCGATACCTGGAATTTAATTGCAATTCTCAAAACCCCCTCCTTCACCCCCCACTGTACGCATCACGACCCTCATCTCTTGCCTGGCGCTTCAGCTATAATACACACAAAGGGAAGCTCCGCGAATATGTGTTCTAATTGCTAAAATACTCACCTCCGGGAGGATATTATATGCGGTATTTGTACTTAACAGCACAGTGATGAAGTAGAGTGACTTAATTTATGTCTCTCATTTATTGTATTTGGGGCATTTTCTTATACGACCTCTGGTCAGCATGGTGACCAAAACACATTTTCTTTGCGAGTCGTTTAGATCGTTGTGACTATGCCTTGCCTTTAAGTCACTCAGTGAATGTCGCTGTGCCCTCCCGGGCTCGTCTTCACTAAAAGAGAATATGTGAATACAGTGGGGTATGCCATAACGAACGGATCCTACTACGAATATTCCTATAACGAACGGTTTTACCTATAAAATTGAGAATGCTATAACGAACGCAACTCCTACAACGAACGCGGATGAATACGGGACTATTTCGCCTGGCGCATGAATATTGTTGTACCGCGACCCACAACAAGAGCGTCAGGCGCCATCTTTGTCTCATTGTGTACCCAGTGCACCACTGTTATTGTTGAAATTTCGTCTTTTGATGTGGAAATAGAGTTATTTGTATAAATATTTTGTTATACAAGTGTACAATTGTAACAATGAATCGTCCAAAGTGAGTGAGAAAGCTCATAACTCTTGAAACTAAGAAAGAAATCATAAAGAAACGTGAGGATGGAACAAGCATTGCGAAACTTAGTGATGAGTATGGGATGGCTAAATAGACTATATGTACGATTTTAAAGAATAAAGAGGAGTTGAAAACTGTGCAAGTGGCTAAGGGAATCTCTAGACTTAGCAAAGCAAGGTGTAATGTGATTGAGGAGACGGAAAATTTACTCTTAGTGTGGATAAAGGAGAAAGAAATGGCAGGTGATAGCATTAGTGAAACTATAATTTGTGAGAAGGCCAGACAATTGTTTGAGGACCTTAAAGCCAAGACTCCCAGTGCAAGTGATAGTGATGTGCCAGTGTTTAGGGGTACCAAGGGGTGGTTTACTGGTTTCAGAAGGAGAAATAAATTACATGGTGATGCTGCTAGTGCAGATAACGAAGCAGCTAAGGAACACCATGACAATTTTTTTAATGTTATTAAAGAGGGAGGCTTTGTTTCTCAGCAGGTATTCAACTGTGATGAAACTGGACTTTTTTGGGAAAAAATGCCTCGCCGTACATACATTACCAAGGAAGAAACTTCTGTCCCTGGCCATAAGCCAATGAAAGACAGGCTTACCCTCCTCCTTTGTGCTGCAGCTAATGCTTCTGGTGACTGCAAAATAAAGCCACTCCTTGTGTACCATGCAGAAAACCCCAGAGCTTTCAAAAACATTAGGAAGACCCGCCTTGGTGTTATGTGGCGGTCAAGCCCAAAGGCTTGGATGACCAGGAATTTATTCTCTGAGTGGGTGATTGAGGTGTTTGGACCCAGTGTTCGGGAATACCTCAGGGAGAATAATCTTCCACTGAAAGCTTTGTTGGTGATGGACAATGCACCAGCCCACCCTCCTAATTTGATGGTTGAATTGCCAGAGGAGTTCAACTTCATCACTGTGCACTTCTTGCCACCCAACACAACACCTCTCATCCAGCCCATGGATCAACAGGTAATTTCTAACTTTAAGAAGCTGTACACAAAGGCACTTTTTAGAAAATGTTTTGCGTCCACTTCTTCCAGTGATGTTAGTTTGAAGGAATTTTGGAAGAGTCACTTCAATATAGCAGACGCTGTTTTTTTAATTACCTCAGCCTGGAAAGAGGTTACTGTGAGGTGTCTTTGTGCTGCTTGGAGGCCATTGTGGCCTGAATGTGTCCTTCAAAGAGACTTTGAAGGCTTCGAAGAGTTAGAAGAAGAGGCTGTTGTTCATGAAATTGTGTGTCTGGGCAATTCCATGGACCTGGAAGTGGATGCTGATAATGTTGAGGAGTTGGTGGAAGAGCACAGTAAGGAACTGTCCACTGAGGAGCTGCGTGAGCTTCACAAAGAACAAAACGAGACACTGAAGCGGAGCTTAACTTCTGAGGAGTCAGGGGAGGAGGAGGACAAGGAGGAAAGCCGCATCATTCCAGCCAAAGATTTCAAGGATGCGTTCTTTTGCTGGAGCAAACTGTCCAAACTTGCTGAGGATTATCATCCTGATGTTGGTTCTGTGCAAAAGCCATCAGTG